CTAGGCGAGGTCGAAACTGCAGTCCACCCTGGATGATAACAACTTTTGGGAAAGCAAGGCTATCTGAAATTAAATGGAACGTCAGCTCTTGATATTATTGTGGAAAAATTCTACTAATTGTCCTTCATTACGTAAACGAAATAGAGTAAATACATCTCGTATAACTGATTTATTGGTAATCTCAAAACTCTGCTTATATAAGAAAGCAATAAATGATTTTTCTCTTTTTGTTCATTTACACGTTTTCATAGTATGAACTGGCGACTCCAAAGATACATTCTCTCGATGAGGCATCAACTCCTTTGATTTCTGGTCTTTTCCAGACCGAAACGAAGCAGCTTGCTGCTATTGTAGAGGATACCACATTCCAACCGGACCATGACTTGGCCAGCGTCGATCTCTCTTCTACACATAGGAGCTCAACCGAAGCCATTATCAAAAGTTCTACTTTGGGTGGGGTGAACTCTTGCACTGAGTCTCTTTCCACTATTGGCTGTTCTGCCGAGGATGCTCTGATCCGTGTAGCCTTGGCTAATCACAAAGACAGATTCATTGGCTTTGGGCCATGCTTGTCTTCTGCGCGCGGTGGTAGGTATGCTGAAGCGATTCAGCCTCAGCCGGGAAAACGAAAGGAGAGTGGGGTGGATAGGCTTGTTGTACAAGACAAGATAAATGAACCAGAAGAAGGTGGAATGAAAAGTATAGTTGGAATTGAAGACTTGGAAGCAAATACTACTCCATGTGCCTCCTGGAAGCGTCCTAGAAGATCACCTCAGGTGCTATTAGATGACCTACAGGTACCAAATAATCACAATTAACAACAACTCTTGCCAATCCTTTTGACTATTCTGGTTTAAGAGAAATTTGTATATTTGGACGAGCCGTACCGTGATTAATTTAATATTGTGCCACATACTATGCCCCATCTATTAGGGATAATTTTTCACTCCATCCTACCTTCTGTCTCGCTCATCAAAATATTTCTCGCGCCTAAGATTTTGTCGATGATTATTACTAGCGTTTCTAAATGGACCAAATTGACTTAATCTAAAGCGGTTTGCAAAAGACAATATTTTAAAATATACCGTACCATTTCGATTTGATCTTGAAGAAACTATTATTTTACGTCTTTGTTTGTATAGTAAGTCATTTATATTTTTGTAACCTGACTCAAACTTAAAATCGACAGTATCCGACCTCTGTTTTAAATACTAACTAAAGTAAAATGCTGAAGCTAGGAAAAGTGAAGACGTACTACACAAATTTATCAGAGTGGGAGTAGGTGGGTTGCCAATAAATTCCTATTGCTAACAGGAAGTCACTATTCTTTGAGCTTCTTT